ATCTCATGGAGGTACAGTACAGTAAATAATCCATGGGGAATCACATTTACGCAGAGTATATTCTTGGTAGGGCAAGAGGATTCGCTTGGCTAGCTTTATTTGGGTTTCCGGTTGTCTTGTGTCAACCCTGTTACCATGCAGAAGTCGGCAGCCATCAGCTTGGCCCCTGTCCTTGAACCCTGAAGTCCTACGCTAGACTTTAGTCTAGACCCGATTTGACTGAAAGGAGAATGACCTCACAGTGTGAGTCTGGCCAAGCATCGTGAAAGGTGAGAATCAGTTCCACAAGTCTCCAGTTCCACGTGTTAAGGCGCCAAGGGGTTACCTTTCGCGATTCAATAAGGAAGTTAGAAGAAACGCCATGTCTAAGGAGTTGCGGCCTGACGATCATTTGAGAATAAGCGAAGAGTATGAAAGGTCGAAGCCGTAATGTAAACAAATACTAGAGAGCGCTGGCAGAGAGCGTCGTTCACTTAGTTATATGCCAACTTCATTGAGTCTGAACATACACAAACTAAAAACCAAGACGTATGTGTATTTATATCCTTTTGAGCTTCCCCGACCTTTCAGGTTGTAAGACGTGAATCATTAGGCGAACTCAAGTACCTCAGCTTCTCTAAACGCTCTTCAGCCATCTCACTCAGCTTCTAGACTAAGCTAAACATCTGACTCCTGAATCCTAGACAATTGCTAACTGTATGTCGGTTAAGTACCTACAGTAGGATATCTGGTGTTGCTACCTGAGTTAATCGCTACATAATCCATCCACCGTTGCTTCATAAATTAAGTAGCTATCATGCGCTTTAAACCCCATTTTTTATGCTGACCTTAGCTACTGCGTAGGCAGTCTATGATAACTATAAAGCTGCGAGTTACGCCTCTTTCTTTTGTAACGCCTGGGATAAGTTGTCATTGCCTCTGCTTTTACGTGTCACAGAAGAAGGACTATTATGAAGACTTGTAACATGAGGTCGTGATGAGCAGCTACAGGGCAAGTGACCGTACTGGAATTAGCTGATACGTCTATTAGGTAGACAGGAGGTAGGTACTGTAGTGTGTTCTGAACCTTAATCCACCCGTGTTGCTCTCGTCGGCCACTAATTCGTCACTTCACACCATCCGATTTTCCCCATCCTCCATCCATCCCCTGGCTAACTGCCCTGGTTGTGCCCTGGTCCAATCTACATGGTGGAGCGCTGTTCATTTGCAGCCTTAAGAGACTAAACTGAATCTAAATCGACTGGTCGACTTGGTACTTACTTACATTCATTCAATCAATCAACACACTTATCCTCCCCATTCCCGTCTTCGCCGCTTCCGCCGTCATCCCATCAACCAAACCACCAAATCATACCGTCCCGAGTGCTACGCAGCAAGGTCTCAATTCAGCTTCCTATCAGCCCGCCCACCTCCCCCCGTAAATTACCTCAGCTTTGGTCTTGGTTACAGTGGACTTCAGCGACGACCGTCACCACCCCCAACAACTGGTCCCGGATCTTTCAATACGCCCACCGGTCGCCATACCGCCTCATATCCCGACACCTCGGTGTCGTAGCCATAGTAGTGATTGGCCCGACCTGCCAACGCCGACAATTCGTTCGATCGTCACATCCTTCTCGACTCTCGACGCTCCCCCCGGCGCACGGCCGTAGTCGCAGAATAGATGTGGCTAACACTGCGCCGTTGCTGTTGTTGCCGCCACTGAATCCTAACCCCACCATTGTCCGATCCATATCCGCCAGCATCACCACCTTGATGACGAATATCCCGTGTGACGAAAGATGACGGATCGAGTGGCCGCCTTCGTCCGTGTTTCGGGCCCGCCAAACAGCAGCTTCTTGGTCGGATATCCTGGCATTTCAGCGACGTTGGTGAGTGCATCATGGTTTTGCTAGCCTCGGCTTGGGCGCTGCGCTTGTCGCATTGTGTCGCCGTCGCCCTCCTTCTATCCTACCCTCACGCGTCGCATTGGAGCGCGGCGCTACGATTTCGCCATCTTCTTTCATTTTCAATTCATGACCTGGAAGCGGTGTAACGAAGAATGATCGACTAACAGAGATCCGCAGCCGCGAATCGAGGGCAAGGTCGAAATTCGCCCACAACAAGGTATATCCGCCCCGGTCGCCATCTCCCTTGTTCGGATATGTCTGCAGCGAAGAGAAACCATCCATCCTGCCGCGGAAAACGTAGCGAAACGTCACCTTGGCACCCCTCGACGGGAGACGACCGACGTAGTTGGCAAGGAGCTTCTGCTTTATCGGTGCTCGTCTGGTAGAGAGGCGGAGAATGTCATCGCCATGGACCTGCCGTTTGTTTTGTTCATACCCTTTGGGAGGGGAGGCGAAGAGACGAATAGGAGGATACCACCAGCGTCGTTACAGCTTCCTAGTAGGACTGCCGAAACGTACTATGAGTTGGTTGTCACGGTACAGCAGGGCCCAAGTGTGCAGAATAAATACGCATTCCCGGTACCTTTGCAGCGATACGACACATTATCGACCTTTGGAATGTACAATCGCCCAGAGACTAAAGTCGCCACCACCGACAGCATTGTCCAGCTTATTATGTCATTGCCAAAATGGAGTTATGGCCCCATGGACCCAATTACTGTCTATATCAAACTGGCGCCAAATTTGGATTGGCCATCCAAGGCTAGGAAAGTCACAGTGAAGAGCATTACGTTGGCCATCGAGGAGGAGATAACCTACAACCCCGAAGGCGACGAACCAACAAAGAAGGTTAACCGGATACAGAAGCACGTGCAGAATGTTGGAATGAAATTACCTGATGAGGGCTATGTGACGAACATGGGTGTCATATTTCCTCACAAGGACTTACGAGATTCAAACGGAATTGTTCGGAGAGGGCAACCGGCATTCCCCCATTATGAGGTCATGTCTTTTACCACAACATCAACCCTCTACAAGATAGAATTTTTTCTCAGCATCAAGGTATGTATACGCTATTATGATTATTGCAATATTCTAAAAGCGATATTTACGTCAACTAACAACTTATCTCCAAGGCGAGTATGACGTCAGCCAGAGACATCACTCTTCGGCAACCTATCGTGATCTGCCCCCTGGATCACCAAGCTTGTAAAGAAGAGATGGACGCCATCGAACAAGCAGCGAAAGATGCTTCAACTGTCGATCAGACCAATCCCATGCTGCCAGCTCGGAATATTGTATTAGCCAACGATCATAACGCCTTAGCAACATTAGGGCTGTGTCTGGTAGGGGGTCAGAAGAAACCTCTGATCGAATGAACAGGAGCTAGCTTTGACGAAAGAGAGAGAAGATGCTGGTACATGATAAACAGCAGTGGCAGTTTCGTCTACAAGGAAAACCTATTACAGCAATTGAGACTCCGGTGCGCACCAACAGCCAGCTTAGCATTCTCAGCTTAGCGCTTACTTTGGCTTGCGAATGCACCAATCCTCCACCTCCGGACGAGAAATTAAACCGTCCGTTAGTACCATCGTGGTACCACGTCTTACGTCCGCAGCCGTTATTCGGAATAGGATACAAGCCGACCCCTGCAACGCAGGGAGTGACATTTGGACCAGTTATCGAATTGCTTTGAAAGTATATTGGCTCTCAAAACGAACGGAGAGTTATGATGCCGTTGAAAAACGAGATAGTGTGGGCAAGCCGTAGCTGCTCTCAATTACTACCCAAGCCAACCTCAGGTTATAGTGGAGATGAAAGTCTATGAGGCTGTGTCACAGGAACCAACGATTCTTGTCCTTATCGGTTTCTTCACGGCCTCCAAAATACATAAAACGCGGCGGTTCAACATAAAAGGCTCGATGGCGTTCGGGACGATTGAAGTTTGGGAAGCATAATGTTGAAGGATCACAGGTGCATCGGTGTCACGGGCGTTTTAGGCGTCTTGACGGGTTGGAGCGATCTCTGACATACTCTATGCTTTTTCCAGGGCGGTCGATATGCGAACACGCATACTTGGTTATGCTGGCGTAAGTCCGGATGAGGTGGCTTTCTTAGCGCAATATGCTCTCGGATATGGACGCATACTGGGTATCCAGGGTTTCTACCAAAGAGATCAAAGGAGCATACCTGGCATGCCAGGAGGAAAACTGATTTATTGACGTCTCAAAGATGCAATACCCCCAGCGAGTCTAAGCACATGGTTTCTTTCGTGTTAGCGAGGATAGCCGGCCTGACTAACTGCACATGCGAGAAGCGAATTGAATGATAATATAAACCTAATTCAAGCCATTCTCTTGGTCTAGCTACACACCACAAGTGACAAGGATTAGGTGCTTGTCTAGGACTTTCGGAGTTATGGTTTTCACACTATGACCAAGTAATATGTTCCATGCCTAGCCAACTGTTGGGAAACGAATCATACGTAAGTACCTATTAACACATCGAAAGCAGCAACCCAACATAGTTACTTGATCTAATCGGAGCTATAGAGATTAGGCTGTAATGAGTAAAAAATCGACTGTAATAGACTCTACGAGATGAATTCACTGTCATTTAGTATAGGCGCATTATTGTATTCCTCAGATTGTGCACTATCCCTGAGGATATCGTTCCTCACGGCTTAGGTGGGTTCTACGGAATAACTAGCGCATGAATTGATAGATTTTGCTCCACACATTAAGGTTACGGTGCCGAACCAGGTCCAGAGCCACTAGGCAAAAGGACGCTTGGCCATTCTGTTCCTTCCAGTAACTAGTAAAAAAAAAGAAACATCAAAATTGTTTTTCTTACCATTCGATGAATTTCATTGTTTCCATTGCCTTTTGGAACCTCTTGATGTGGCACTCCAAAGTGGCTGCGTGGCTGAGGGGTTGTGGGCCCATGACCCACAACCCACAACCTTATCATCCACCTTGCTTGATAGACTTCTCCACATCTACTTAATACAACCTCATCCCTACGACCCACAACTCTGCAAACCTTGCAGGGCATGTGGAGACTTGATAATATTTTTCCACAGAATCTATCAATCATCCAATAATCTTTCATGGGTGTTTGGCCGAGTGGTTAAGGCGCTGTGTTTAGGCGATCCAGGCTCTGTCTGGATGCTTGAATCCCGCAGTGGGAAACCGCGCAGGTTCGAATCCTGCAGCACTCAAAGATATCTTTTTGCATTATCACTTTTGCATTTCGAATCCTTCTCTGTCCCAACTTAGAGGAATATTGAGGAATATTGATGTTGTATACCTAAGTGATAACAGGAGTCCACAGCCACAGAATGGTTGTGTCTGGGAAGGAGCTGTGCTCCTGCCTACCTACCTTTTCCTTTCAGAGGGCACCGCTAACAGTGTTACAGGGTCTTATCCTGTGCTTTTCTTTCTAGGTTACAGGCATCTTTGAGGCCTAATAACTACCATTTCATGTACATACCTAGGTAATTGATAACGAGATAAGCAGGTATTTTCAATTCCATTATAGAGTTTCAACTCACAGTGAGACGGTGGGGTTCATCATGTACATACATATACGTAGGACCCTCCATGCAGGTACTAAGGCTAGCTATCCCTGCAACTTACAAGTTCTTAGGTACCTGCCCCCTCTAGCCTCGATTTTCGGTGTCCGTTCTTCCTCATCATTAGATGTTTACATATTTCTACGCTCGCCGATGAAGGCATTGTAGGGGCACATAGCGACCGGTTTGACCGAGTTCCACAATCGTATTAAACAACAGCTCTTCGACCGCAACGATGCCATTCGACGACGAAGACTTAACGCCTGCGTCGCTTGACACTGTCAATGACGAGGCCACCTCCGATGCCGAAGACGGCGATCGAGCCCAAGATTTTCGACTTTTTACTTCGCTTCTCACAGGCCCCGGGGGCAAGAAGAAATCCCAGGCTTCCAGCAAAGCTATACGACGTGGCGAGAAAGATTTCGAGTCACATGGCACACGCGCACAGGAGGGTGTCCTCGAGTCCAGTCGATCAGCCATGCATGAAGTTTTGAGTTATACTCGCCAGAACCAACCCCGCAATGCTCTACGCGGATGGTACTTCCCCGACAGATGGGCGGATGTTGCGCCGGAAAGCGAGTTACCGAGCGAAGTCGCAACGGAGAAACAACCAGGTGATCGGACAACAAAAGGTCGTGGCTCCGGCTGGGGCTTGTTTGCAAGAGAACGGGTCGTTGCGCTTGAATCAGATGCAGGTACCATGCTATCATCTATGGGTCGCGTCGTTACGAGCGCCGAGAAATCCAGTCCGGGGTGGCTGAAGACATGGCTGTTGCCGGAAGAAGCCCTGTTCCTAATCGAGAGAGGGACGCTAGACTTATGGTGGCCAGTGCGAGGAATCGAGGAGATTCTTCATGCAGACGAAGATCCCGAGGCGCCGCTGGTGAAGTCGAAGCCGCTCGAGGATTATGAGCTTGGTATCCCTCTGAGCTTACAAGCTGCATACGCGCTCTTCATTGGGCGAGATGGAGAAAGGGGGAAGATTAGCCTCGAAAAATACCAGGTTTATGCCAATCTTAGACGTTCAGGATATCGAGTCTTACGAGCGACGCCGTTAGCACTTCAGACGTCCGCAGTACAGTCACCTCGTCCGCTTTGGCAATGGCTTTTTCCACTTATAAAAAACGCGAGCAGTCCCATTACTAAGACCTTCGGCCATTCAGGATACGGGCCACTCGTGAAACCAGGTCTATATCGCTCATATGTGCCTATTTTTGAGCAACTGGCCCTTGTACAGCGACACAAGCCCACTCCTCTTCCAGCATCAGAAGCACCTCAACCTCAAGACCCCTTCAAGATCCATTTCAATATATGGAAAAGCGCATCAACATTTTCAAAAACAAAACCGCCGCCGCCCGATTTTCAGATGGCTGTTGTGGATGCCCGCGATTCCAGCGTCCCGACGCTCGAGCAGCTAGATACTTTGCTTCTATCTACACCGTGGACTCCGCCAGAAGCAAATAACGGCAAGCTAGGGGCGGGATTTATATACAAACGCCTTAAACATGGATGGCGAAATGCCATTATAGCGGTTGTTGACCGAGGATTAATTAGCTATATGAGGTTCGGCGAAATGGCGTTTGGTGAGGAATTGCTGTATCAGAGCACGAATACGCGGCTAAAACCGAAGAGAGGTGGCCGGGCTGGGAGAGGTCGAGGAAGAGGGCGAGGAAGATAATAATAGTGACTCTACTACCATACGACATATGTTATGACGATGCTATCAAAGGAATACTCTGCTAGGCGAGCGTAGGGCGAAGTCACATAGTGAGTCGGCAGAATTAAGCCGATCAATCAAAAAATAGATCCTATAAGGACAGAGAACCTAGACTTCTAGTCATATGCGAACAACCTAAGAAAGTGCCTTGGCATCCCAAGACGTGTAAATAGATAGCGGAGTCTGCTCAAAGATATCGTGACGCATGAATATTATGAATTACCTCAAGGGAACCGCGAGGTTCATATCCGAAAATTGACTTCACTATATGCTTTGACTTATTACCTCAATCTGGCAAGAAAACTGAAATCGGCGAGTTAAGAAACTGCAGATGTTCGGATATTCAGCATCTGTGTTTACTTCGCCGCTGATTCCTCTCCTGTTATAGCTCGAGTTGGTTGTGTCATGACACGAGGCTTTGTCTTTCCATCCTTCACTGACTTAAGTCATCATTTTAGGTAATATATAGCTTCTTTTACGTCAACAAGTCCGTACGAGCTTCAAGGGACAATTTTGCTTTCATCTACGATCAAAATCTTAATTATGCAGAGTCAATGATGATCGAATTTTGTCAGTCAAAACGCTGAACTATAAACTAACTTTCAAAACTCCGCGACCTTTTCGTAATGTTCGTCTCTTTATTCTTATCTCCAGCCTCTTCTGCTCAGAATTTCATCAGGAATATTAGTCAGGATTACAGGGATTGCTCTACGCACAAGATTTTGACTCAGAAATAAAGCAACGAGAACCTATTACCTTATCTAAACGCTCAGCCCCGATGTCGTGCCCTATATTCGTGAGGCACCCCGGCAACCAGCCTTTTAGGACTCGTATTCGCGGCAACCTCCAGTGCAGGATATTCCCGCTAACACAGCAGCTTACATGGGGTATATCAATTCCATACCATAGGTGAGCGTTCGTTCAGCTGACGATTACGATGCGAGAAGCCGTTCTTCGCGGAACTCGGCTAGGACTTCCAATTCATAATTCACATACCGGACCTAGGTTTATCCTCGGCAAGGCTTGCCAAGCATTAGACTATCTTCCGAGAACTTATGAATCGCTTACTCATGATGCCAACGAATTGCGGCTTGGCTTAGTACATCAGGCACGCAGAGATGTTGAGCTCTTGTCAATGAAATCTGCCTTTAAATGAGTTTGGTGATAATTTTAGGCGGTGAACTTGGAGACCTTCTCCTACAAACCGAGGGCCCAGGTCTTCTTGTTCATGCAGGACATCGATAACGTCATTTGAGCTTCACTGCGCGCAGCTAGCCCAATAGCTTTCGTAGATAGGAGATACATGTGACTGCACTACGAACCAGTGATGTCCAACATCAGGCCTGGAATCAAGTACTGAAACACATTCAGGATCCCACATTATGCGGGGAATTTCGCAGCTGGAAGAGCTCTTATTGAGCAGCGACTGTGATACGTAGTACTCATACTCATATCATAGCCTAGTAAAGTTACGAAAACATCACCAAGCGGGGATAGCTCGGCTTAAGAGAGAGTATGGCGGGGTATACCTAGTGCCTCGAAATTGTGCAGTTTGGTGTAAGTTCAGTTCGAGTTGGAATTTTGAATATCAACAGACTGGCGCCAACTTCACGTATCGACCCTGAGGTTATGCGATCTGTATTCGTCGAGTACAAATACTGTAGGTATACTCTGCCGGCGCTGTGACTTTTACGACCCCACCTCGTCCTCAGCTCAAGATCTATGTGCGCATATCTAATTAAATTAACCATGTATATACCGAAAGATAATGACGGTACCTATTATTTAAATTTATGTCGGACTGTTTGTTATGCAAGGGTATCATTGACCTGATGCTGTCAGCTCCGTAATGCTACTCTGCGACGTCGCTCATTCGAGGAAGCTCGTATTATTGCCTATGCACCTCTAGATGTGTATCAGATAGGAGAAATATAGAAATATCCCTTGCTGTTTAAAGGGGCATATTGGATTTACTGATACATTGTTGTGTGGAATGATGGCGTCTGGTTCAGAAGGCTTTGCAAGGCATGAATTTACTGCATTCTTGCAAAGCGAGTTTGAGTGCTATAGAGTGTATAGTTTCGTCATCTAGATATAGGGTTGGAAGTTCTGGAGACGCTTGCTGGGCTATATCTCCATTCCTCGTTTGCCAACTTTATTTGCTGAACCTGATACATTCGCAAACGATTGCGAGCCTTTTCTACATGTTGAAACTCTCGTACTGCGAATCCATGGGCCCTCATAAGAAATGATGCATACTATTGTCACCTTCCCCCCCTCGCTTTCTAACCCTGGCTATCATATCAGGCAGGATGTGATATTGGATATGTATGTACAGCCGACGGCTGTCAAAGAGTCATCGACTAATACCATGCTATTATCGCCTCTCTGTTTTTTTCGTTGGCTGTTACACAGACGTCGTATCACAATATCAATTAAAAGCTGAAAGATGCGACGAGACGAAGTAATCTCACCGCGTGTTTGCCGCAGTTTGTCATACCGCCGAAGAAAACGATCAGCTAGGTACTGATGGGAGATGTGCCGATCGGAGTGAACAGAGCCCGATGTAGTACAACGGTGCGACTTTTCAGATAAGAGCTCATTCACCGGTTTTCCCTAACTGCCTTGACAAGGAGGGCAAGGAGGGGTGATATTGGAATTATCAGTATAAAAGACAGAGTGTTTCGGCAATGAAGTATGCACGAAGAGGGAAATTCGATCACATGATTTTCATTTTTAGTGGAGGCCTAGATTCTTTTTCTTTTTCCACATGTGTTTTAATGCCATCATTTCTGTCTCCACTTAGACGCAGCGAACAGAACCCCTCCCCCGGTCGCATTTACCATTTTCTGGTCTTGGCTTCGATGAGAGTAGGCTTTTCATATTATCTGTCCAAGCGTCAATTATCTACGCATTCAGGGTCCTGTAT